AGGAAATGACAAATATCTCTGATTTTTATGGAAGAACTAAAAGGGCACTTTTATCTATAGCATCCAGTCTGTAAGAAGCACTGTTAAGTAATGAGGCTATTTTTATTATATGTCCATTCACTTCAGGAGTATTCAACATGGCAGTGGTCTAAAAACAGCAAACTTGCTCGTTCGGAAAGGTAAAATTGTGTATCGGAAGGCATTTGCCAGAGTTTTCCTTTTTAGGTATTAAAGTTGGACCTTCGAGGCATGATTCCTGTTGTGCCAAACTTTTGTTTCTCATATTCAGCAGAAACAGTTTTCAAGCGACAAAGTCAAATTCTTCCCAAACGCACTTCATGATGCTGTCCTCAATACATCATCCTAACGCTGTTTGGACTCGATAACATTCGGTGCGCCACGCTCCGGTTTGGAAAAAGTCTGCTTTTTAAAATAACTGATTCAATAAACTGTTGACAAATGATGTATATCATATAACATGGCCAGAGAGCCAGGTTTATCTCTGTCATTACATGCCGCATGCAGCCCGTTCACAAATGTTGCCATGTTCCCCTTATGTTAGGGCTCCTTATGCCATTCTGAGTAGCAATCCAAAGATCAATACACAGTCTGCTGAAAACAACAGGACATAACAAATGAATAATTTTATTTACAATAAAGCCTCAGTCCCTAAATGGATTCCCCTAATGCTCAGATTCATTTTTCATGCTCAAGATGGGAGGTAGACATAGCATAAGGCAAGGGAACGGCGTTCGGAGAAATATTAACCATACTGGTTCAAATTTATTTAAGCCACACACAATCGCTGGACTGCACTGAGGTACATGAATAAAACGTTCACTGCAGAATTCTGAAGATGCAATCTCCAAAATGTTTCTATTCTCTCACCAAGACACTCTGAAAAGCATTTTCCAGTAACAAGAAATTAATGGATTAAAGACATTCTGACATATCCTTCTCGAGCATTGCACCACAGAGGCCGAAGCCCGTTCAATCAGCTTTAAACAGTTTGCAACGAACAGAAGTATTTGCTTTAGGTGGGGACAAGGAGGGATTGAAGTGGGTCTTTTGAGAATGAAGCAAATAGTCTTGCTTCAAAAGCTTATCTTTGGCCCCTGATCTGACAGTTCTTTTCCTCCTCTGAAAGGTATGAAAAAGTCAGTGAGCAAAGTCATAAGAAAAAAAGGGTTGGGGAGAGGGAGCAAAATGTTAGAGAGCACACAAGTTGAAAGATGACATTTACAAGTCTCGTGAACGGCACATTCCCCAAAGGCCACCTGAACCCTCTTTTTAAAAAGAAATCCTCATAAATACAAAATAAAAATTTCCCATTCACATACAGATGCCAATATATTGCCCACAAGATGCAGACTTGTCCATTAAAAATTAACATGCACCAAAAAAAAAAAGAAAGAAAGAAAGAATCTTTCCCCATCCGCCATGAATTCATTCACCTCTTTTAGACTTAACTCTGTATACTTTTAACACAGAAATGTAAACAAGATTGCAACTGAGAAAGCAGGAAGGGAAAGTTTAAAAAATTCAGCTTCGATAGGATACTAAAAAACCTGGAATAAAAGGGGAACCCGTTTGGCTGGTGTTCGGGAATACTGAAAAGGCAGGATTTCCACGCACCCTTGTTGCCCCCCGCTCCGTTGAAATGATTCATGTGATCCCCATGCTTATCATTTCATTTTAAATTCAGTCAACATAGAACTTTGGATGCTGAGGAAAAAGAGATGTGCAAAAGCAAGTCCTGCCCCACCCCTTTCCAGGAACTATGGACTTAGCACGGAACCAAGCAAGAATGCGTGGTTCTGACTTGAGGCAGATCCGTTAAGTGTTTGGCACCACCGTGCCTGGAACAGAGTAGGAGCTCAGGAATAAACTGCTGCATGAATCAACATGCAAATAAGGAGCCAAGGGTCACAGAAAGGACGGAATATTTTCTTCCTGAGGGGGAGCAAGCCAGGTATCAAAACATCTTAGCTGAACCGAAAAAGAATGGGAAGGATCTCTTGTACAGAGACAGGCAGGGTCAAGATGGGTGGAGGCACGGTGAAGGGAAATGCAACATCTCTTTAGGAAATAGTTGGAACGGGGGCGGGGGGGAGGCAGAGTCAAAATAATGAAAATCTTTGAAAACTATGCTAAGGAGTTTGTACTTTATCTTCAAAAAAAAAAAAAAAAAGATTCATTATATTCATTAGTGGTTTACTTGCAAGGGAATAGGAAGGAGAGAGAGGATGGGAGCCGAGGTCTAGAATGAGGTGTGGGCCCAAGTAAAGTCTAGGAGCAGACAGGGTGCAGGGAGCTGGAAGACCTAGGAGACCCACACCAGGGGGCTGATCTAAGGCAGACAGAAGAGAACGCTGGGGGAAGATGAAAGCCCACTGCAGACATCTCACCATTTATTTTATGAAATGATAATAGGCAGAGCTAGCCACAGCTTCAATTCCCAAATCTCAAGACAAAAGAACATCACTTTCTACGGGCGAATGAGTAACGTATTAAGATTCTTCTCACAGTTATCACCTAACCGAGTTTACAAAGGTAAAGTAAAAAAAAAAAAAAAAAAAAAAAAAAAAAATCACAAAATCATCATATAAAAAGGATTGTCTGAATACATTATCTACTGGCCCTGAGACCCCTTTAAACCCTGCAGATACGAAATAGCCTCACGGAGTATACAGATGATAAAGATGTCCCTGTTCTGTTATCCCCAGAAAGGGTTGGTTCCTTCTTGCTACTTTCCAAACGAACTCAGGTTTGTTCATTTTAATGCAACATCCTGTCCAAAATGGCAATTCCAGGGCCATCTGGAACAAAACCAGTTATCAGTCACTAAATGTTCACTGTTCAGAACAGCATTTCCTGAGAAGACACCGCAACTTTTCTTTAAAGATTTTTTTTTAATTTATTCATTTGAGATACAGAGACATACAGCACACAAGCAGGGGGGAGGCAGAGGGAGAGGGAGAAGCAGACTCCCCGCTGAGCAGGAAACTGGACATGGGGCTCAATCCCAGAACCTAGAGATCATGACCTGAGCTGAAGGCAGACACTTAACCGTCTGAGCCACCCAGGCAACCCATCACAACTTTTCTTAAGTACAAACATGCCTATGACCCACGTCTTATATCACACATGCCAAATGGGTTAAAAAGACCATGAAAAGTCAAGTTTCTTACTATCAATATATAAGTAAAAAAAAAAAAAAATCACGAAGTTAAATTCATTCCATTATTAACCATTAAAAAGGCAGTACAACTCAGCAACTTCACAATTTTCCAGGCCAAGGTATTAAAACACATTCATCCAAAACCACATTTTCATCCCAGGTTCCCTCTTTGATACAAGATAGAAGTCAACTAAAGCTGGCACTCAAACAGATACCTACAACATTTCAACCATATTCTTCTGACACCGGAATTCTCAAGCATTTTCTTTTAAAAAAAAAAAAAAATTCCTCAGCGGAGAAAAACAACCAGAAACTTGCAGCAAAATCAGATGAAAAAAATAAAACACTTGTGTTATTTAAAGAACTTCACAATCTCTTAGAAGAACTCAATATAAAATTGGTATAGAACTTTAAAATTGTTCTCTTTTAGAGGACCTTCCTGAACCATTCTAGTTTTTATTTCTACTTCAATAGAGGAATAATATTTTCTAATAATGAGTATTTATAATGTAGATTATTTTTATACATTTAAAAGAAGAGCTAAATATCAAGTAGTTAAATATCAAGTAGTCATTCACATATCATTTAGTAGTTTACTGCTGTAATCCTTAGTTTTATAAATTTACAGAATTTATTTGGCTAAAATTAAATTCAAGGAATTTGGGCACCTATCAAAATCACAATTATCTTTTGGTTCGTGTTTTCTTATTGTATTATTTTCAATGTAGAGCAGTTACGTGGCCAAGAAAGATTATTCCTAAAGTTCTCAAACACCTTGAAAACTCCCATGGTGGGGGTAGCATTTTCCACACTACAACATGATTTTATTTTGAAATAAATATTCATATATATATGTGTGTGTGTGTGTGTGTGTGTGTGTGTGTGTGTGTGTGTATACACATACACATATGAATATTTATTTGAAAATAAAATCATGTTGTAGTGTGGAAAATGCTTATTATCTTAAAATATGAAAGTTTATACTTTCTTGCACTCTGCATAGTAAATTAGAGGGAAAACAGAAAAAAAAAACAGAAAAAAAATTCTAGACAGTCAGTACAAAAGTCATATGCACACAGTCATGAGTGATACTTTCAGCAACATAAAAATAACTCCAGAATATTTCACCAATTCCTGCTGCTCCCATGGCAAAGAATAAACCTTCTACTGAAGTCAATAGGAGGAAAGGCTACAACACAATGGTCAGAGGGAAATAAAACAACTCTACCACCAATGACACTGGACAATGATCTACAAGCTGTGATGTTCTCCAAGAAAAAAAAAAATGCTATTGCAGATCCTAAAATGAAAACAACTGTTTTGTAGGTGTATTTATGTGTATGAATTTGCTTGAATGATCTCTAAGAGGTAAAGATAGCACGTCAGGCTCAAATCTTCAGGTAATACCTTATTTCTACGTCACAAAAGTGCCACCAATCTCTATCTTACTATTAATATTCACTACTGATGACTGAAAACAAAGCACTCATGATACTCATTGAGCCCCCTTAGAAGGACCTATTTATTTACCCAGCTACGATAGTGAAAAGGTCAAGTAAAAATTCACCTCCAAAGCCACAGTTGCTAAGCAACTCTTTTCAGAAGTTCTGCAACATTCATCAAGCATATTGCTGGTACCACCAACTGGAACCAGAATAAATGCAACATCTTACCTGGTTTCTCCAAAGGGGGAGGCAGGTGGATTCCTTGCTTACCTCTGCGGACGGACATGGAGGCCAACGCTGTATTCCTTTGGTCTGTTAAGTTCAGGGGCTTTTTATTTTCCCTCTCTTAAAAAAAAAAAAAAAAAAAAGGATACGTCCTGGTACCACAGGTTTCCTGTTCACAAGAGCAAAGGACAGTTCTGTTTTGAGAAAAACCACAGAGGGCTTGATGAGGTGTTGGCCAAATCGGAATGACATTTCTTCACAGTTGAAGCCTGAAAAGAGAAAATGATTTAAAGAAGTGAGCTTTTGTAAAATTCAGATGAGAAACTTAGATTATTTTAAAGAAATACTAATACTTTAAAGAAAAGTAAATCCCATTTCCTACAGATTTTTAGTTGCAAGGATGACATCATTGAAGCTGTTCCCCACTTAATGTCCACCAAGATAGATTCTGGGCAAGTCCTCCTAACATACACTCTCCTCTCCCTACCCAGCATTGCCTTGTTTAGAGTGTTTTCAAGCAGAAGCTTATACATGGGCAACAAAAAAGTCTTCTTAAATCCCTCTGCAATTCAAGTTGTCACTTTAACCCAAATCTGCTAGGTCCCCTCTCTTGGCTTATTTTTCCCCTTTCATCATCTTTGCTAAGCTGAAATTTTTAATTGTTAAGCATGGACTATAAACCATTTAATTCATAAATGATTTTCTCAAATGGTTTTATCTCTATTTATATAAAAGCAATTTAGAAAAAGTACAAAAGCCATTTGACCCTGCCTACAACTACAAAAACATGAGCACTCTGAGGGAACTATTAGAGTAAAAATTCCAAAACTAAAGGGAAAAAAATCGAGAAAAAGAAAAAACAAAACAGAGTTCAAGAATGAGAACTTCTGGCTGAGTCAGTGCCAGGACTGACAGTAAGGCGTGTGAAAGGTTCCATATCTTCTTTTTGGGGGAAAGCCTCAGGGGTGAGGGGTGGTTGAAGGAATACTTGGTCCTTGGCAACTGGGGTCCGAGGTAATGATCTTCCAATGATCAGATGCAGGGCAGAGTTACTTTCTGAATGACAAAGACACAAATTCCTTGGAAAACCATTCATTTTCCTAATTTAGAAACCACCCCACTATAAAACTATGAAAATAGATCAACCCACGGGAAACCAGAAATACGATTACAAAAAGGATAATGTCAGAAAATGGTTGACTATTTTATAAAGCATAAAAATAAGTGTACAATTCTTTAATGATTCTGATGTTCTCAATGACTCAGAAGATACAGAGAGCCATGCAAATGCCATCTAGGGTCACCTAGAAGTACCCACATGGCAAGAACCTAACACATTTCAGGGACAAAGACATAAAATGGAAGGTGTGCCTCAATGGTACAAATACCGGTTTTCAGAACATTTACAACTAGCTCATGAGAGGCCAGTAAAGACATCAAAAATCATCTAACCCAGTGGTTCTCAGAATGTGTTTCCTGGACCAGCAACATGAGTATCACCTGGGAACTAATTAGAAATGTAAATTCTGAAGTCCTACTCTGGACCTCCCAAACCAGAAACTTAGGCAGAAGGGCCAAGAATAACCTATCCAGATGATTCGGAACCATAATCAGACCCAACTAGTCTCCCAGTCCTTGGGTCCTTCACTACAGAATCCTGGCCAACCAGCTGGCTAGCCTGGGCTTGAGTACACCCAGTGGTGGGAAGTTCACTACCCATTACTTCTAAGAAAATTCCAGCAATTACATAGCTGCCCTTCCTATTTATCCTATTTATCCAAGTCTATTTATCATGAATTTTGCCTCAGGGCCATATGAAACAAGGAGCATGCAGTGGTAGTGCTTCAGATATTTAGAGTTAATTTTTATTCATTTCCCCCCTCCACCATTTGTCTAAAATAAACATGGCACTTCATTTCAGTCATTCTGCAAGCAGCATTGATTCAATTCCACCGCAGCTCTTGGTGGTTTGTTTTTGTTTTTGTTTTTGCCTACCCAGCATCTACTTTCTATATGTCTGGCCATAATTGGGGGGGCGGGTAATTTTTCTTTGGGTAATACCCCACTATTTTGTGTGCTATTCCCACCACCTGATTCTAGAGACAGGAAATTGATCCCGACTTCCTTAGGCTTCTGTCACATGACTGGTTCAGGAGTGGACACAGGACCAAAAAATGAGCCACTGAAAGAAAAAAGACCCATGAGAAGATTACTGCTGACACTACAGGGAAAGAACTTTCTCCCTGCTGAGTTGCCAGTCTGATAGGACATGAACCAGAACAACTAGAGGTTGCATGGAGTAGAGTCTGCCTGACACACGGAGGCTGGCAGAGCCAAGACAGAGACCCATTCCTAGGAGATTGACTTAAGCACAGGTTAATAAGCTCATGCTAGAAGTCCATCAAAGGCTCTTCATGTGGTTTTCATTTTCCTTACCATTTCTCCTTCATCGCTCTGCCCAGCCCCCTTCTTTCCACCATAGAGCTTCACTGTTTCATAATTCACGTGTTGTTTATCACCTTAATTGCATTTTATAAATATTTTCCATGTCAAAATTATATAGGGCACTTGCAGGTTTTTTAAGATTTATTTATTTATTTATTTGACAGAGATCACAAGTAGGCAGAAGTAGGCAGAGAGAGAGGAGGAAGCAGGCTCCCTGCTGAGCAGAGAGCCCGATGTGGGACTCGATCCCAGGACCCTGGGATCATGACCTGAGCCGAAGGCAGAGGCTTAACCCACTGAGCCACCCAGGTGCCCCTCTTGCAGGTTTTTTAAAATGGGTATATAAATTGTATCATGCTTTAAATATCTTTCTGCCTTTTTTTTCCTCAACACTTTTAGAAATTCATTCCTGATGTTTTAAGTAGATATAATTCATTCCTTTCTACTTCATATTCACTCAGTATATTACACTGTAATTTCCCTTACCTGTCCCTCTAGCAATGAAGAATTAGCTTGTCTCCCATCTTGTACCACAAATACCACTGTGGTGACCACCTTACATAGATTTCCCTGAGTATGTAGGCTGGAGTCCCACTATTTGGTTTTAATATCTGGATTTTCTAAAATAAACGTACCAGTTTGCATTCCCAGAAGCAATAGATGTAGATTTCTATTTTCTCCCATCCTTGCCAGCACTTGGGAGTCTCTGATTTCCTAGCTGTTACCGGTATGAGAAGCAATATAGAAGCTCTTAATTTTACTTTGTCTCCAATGTGATATAGGTGGCTACTTCTTCTTGTATTGTCAAGATTTTTGCCCTCTTTTGTACGCGTTTCCTCCCTTCTATTTTCTGGTTTTTCAGAGTCCCTTGTGTATTTAAATATTGATCTTGGTCTTTTAAACATGACAATTATGTTTTTGCCATCTGTTAGTTTTCCTATCATACGATCCAGTAAACAAAAAGCATTCATTTTTTATGTATTTGTCAATTTTCTTTTTATGGTTTGTGCTCTGTGACTCTTATATAACAAACCCTTCTCTACCACAAAGTTATAAAAATATCTTATATTTTTGTCTATCAGCTTTATAGCTTCATTCTTAACAATTTGATACTTAATCCACTTGGAATTTTACTTATGGTACAAATTACAAAAATGTGTTTTGTTCTGGTTTTTTTTTTTTTTTTTTTTTTTTACTTTTGTGAAACAATTTTCCTAGGATGAATTGCAAGGAATATTTACACCAAATCCCTTTACGTACAAAGGAATAAGTCTGTAGTCAGAATATTCTGATTCTATGTTAGATGCTAAAGAAGAGGGGTGCCAGATTTTTTTCTCTGAAGGGCCAGATTCAGCCCATCACACAGTCTGTTGTAACTACTCAACCCTGTTATGGCAGTATAAAAGCTGCCAAAGACAATACATAATAAACGAATGTGCAGTGTTCCAATAAAACTTTATTCATAAGAGATGGCAGCAGCCTGAACTTGGCTTCTGGGCTGTAGTTTGCCAACTCCTATTATATAATATTAATGCCTTGTAAAAGGAGGATCCTTCTTTATTCACCCATATAAATTTTAGATTCAACTCTGCCCCTTGAAAAAAATTATTCCTTGGATGTTGATTAGATTTATACGGATTTTAAATTTTAATGGGGGAAATCCGACACCTTCACAATATTCAATCAATCCATTTATGTATGCTGCATTTATGTTCTATAATACCATAATAAAATTCTTGTAATAGGGTTTTAAATTTCCCTTATATGTTTTATGAATTCTTAGATTTATTCCTAGATAGCTTTTAGTTTATGTCACTATTACAAATGGTATCCTATCATCATCATAGTTTATAATTGGTTATTCCCAATACAGAGGAAAGCTATTGATTTTTATATTTTGCTCTTATAAGCTGGCAACCTAGCTGAACCCTTGTATTGCTGCTAATAGTTTCTGCTGATTCTCTTTGGTTTTCTATATAAATGATTTTACTTAGATATAATGACAATTGTCTCTCTCACTTCAATCTTTCTACTTCTGTTGGTTTGTCTTGCTGCATTGGTCAGGTATCTGGTATTATGCTGAAAGGCAGAAGTAACACAACCATCTTTGTCTTGTTCCCAACATTAAAAGACATAAGGAATGAGTTTAAATCTGCTTCATGAAAAATGGTATCCGCCATAGGTTTTTAGTACAAAGTCTTTATCAAGCTTCAAAAAAATCTCTAGTTTAAGTCTAAGGGTTGATTACATTTAAAAAAAAGAATTTAGTTTTACGAAATGTTTTTTGTCATTGATCAAACAATGACAATACAGTAACATTTTTTAAAATGCTGGAACATCCTTTCACTCTTATGAAAAATTAAACTTAGTCACATTTTTAATACACTGCTAGATTTGAATTCAGTGTTTTTTCATGTGATAAGTGAAGTCATCCAATATTTTTTACTTAGTTTTGTTTAAAAAAAAATCATACTTATAGGTTGGCTTTTCTTTGTTCTACAAGAAGTTTTATAAACAAGGATTTTCTGTTCCTTGAGATTTAAATAGAACTACTTGTCAAACTGTCTAGGCCTATTTTTATATCACAGGATTGTTTTGATAGGCATTACAATTTATTTAATGGTTACTGATTGCATTTTTTTCCTTGCAATTTTTTAACCTAAATTTATCCTAAATTTTTTTCACCTCAACTGATCTTTATTGGTTTAAAAAAAAAGAAAAAAAACAAGCCTCTTTGAACAGATTAATAATTCCTAATTATTTCTTTTACCTATTTTGTATTTATTCATAATGTATATTTTTTTCAGTTTTCCTGGAATTATAT